TATTTATTACATTACGTAGGTATTGACGATGGTGGAATTTTGTCGATAAAATGAAATTTTTGACGAGTACTTAATGTTTTTTGTATTTTGTCATTATGTCAAATTAATGCACTTTATCATTCAGAATTTAGTATAGTTCTTTGTTCTACTTTTGACGCATTTATTATGTACGATAAAATTATCGATACGGGAACAATCATGTACATCACTATTTTTTAATGAAAATTGTTTTAGACGTATTTCAACTAAAATTAATGAAAATAAGCACTGCATTAGTTAGAAAAGTATTGTATTTAGTCAATTTGCAGCAACCACACTTGAATAGTTTGAAAAACAGAGATATTTTAATGAAAAATAACAGTACTTACCGATGTAATGTTACACCTGCCGGTTTAGTAATATTTTTAGTGCTACATCCAATAACACTGCACCCGGGCATAGTTTTTCTCACTAACCAATAATTTCTTTGTTTACCACGCACAAAAACAACAGGAATTCTACAAATTTTCGTAACAAAAAATTGTTGACCAATGCTTTGACAGCTGATGTACCACTGACATGTACTGATAACAGGGACTAAGATGGCCAATTCGGCACAACTAGGTTTTTCTGATGACGTCAAAAAATTATGGCCAGAATGACAAAAATGTGTTGTCTCTTTCTGCATAAGCAAAGAGACATAAGTAAAAAAGAAACAACAGTATGTTTATGAATTTACCGTCAAGATGGATCCTAAATTCTACCCGTAGACAATAGCCAGACATCTATGTTATATTTATAAATCTATGGGTTCCATACATCGAGAAGCAAAATTAATAAGTACTCTTTGGGCCGATATAATATTGCAATATTTTGTTTTGACGTTCAAAAGTCATATTTGACAATTCTTCCATATTAAAAACTGTTAAATGTCAATTTTATTCAATAGTTAAGAATTAACCGATGATTGGAAAATCGGCCCTTATAGTAGGTAGTATTACTTTGTTGCCTGGCTGCCTATAAGATCTTAATTTTGAGGTCTTGTCGATATAAATAGAACATTTTGCTTAAGTTATCTCTTGACAATGTGAAGAAATCCAATGTTTAAATAACGTGAGGAAACGTACAACCGAAAAAAGATTGATATCGCCAAAAAATAAGCTTTAATTTGCCTTGAAAGTTGTGAGGTTACAACCGAAAAATGCACACACACACACACAAAACCACATGTTTTAACGATTAAGGGGTATATAGGGTAGAATCTATTTAAGGTACCCACTAAGACTAAAGCCTTCTACATAGCATAGAATGCTCAGGCTTCTAATATCAGAATATAAGAAAAATTTTATACACATACGGAACTTTAGACTGTCGATTGCAACTTGCCATTGTCCATATTTTTTCTTATCAACGACCTCAAATCGAAAGTCCGTAAGCAATTAAAACTTGTTTTAACGAGTAAGTAAGGTATATGCATCAATAATAAGATAAATAATACATTTTTATTTATTCCGGCTTTATTGTGAAGGCCTTGTGTAAGAAGCTGTTTGGTTGTGAAGGGTTCGTGGAAATTGTAAGGGAAGTCAGTTTTTTCTTTATAAATGGGGTATTGACGCTCTATGACTGTACCAAATAGCTTTTTTTTAAGGTTGGAAAATCATCGAATGACTGCCCCCGCCTGGGTGAGGCGCGAGGGAGAGTCAGACTCTTACTGACAAACCACCCCGTTCCTTCTCCTTCACTTCGAGCCGGAGCTCCGGTAACCCGTTAGGTTCTCCGCGACAAAGTAAATGGCACAAGAATACATTTTTAGTAACTTTTGTATAAACTAACGTAACTATTCACTATTCGTTTCCACCTGGTTCCCGGGCCGGGCAAAGTATTACTGATATTTTTTTCATTCTCAGTAATAGCACGGAGTTTGGAAATATGCCCGGTATATGGCAATAGGTATACCCCCTTTTACATGGGACTCATAAGATAAATAGTGAAAAATGGGTGTTACATTGTACAGTGGCATTAAGTTCCGTAATGTGCACCTCTGCCGCTTCGAAGATAAAAGGCGTGTTGATGTTATGTTTTCGTTTCCTCAAAACTTATCCCATGTTACACAATTTTTAAAGTTGCTTATAGTTCTAAAACATGATATGTAACTGGATCTTTATGCTAGAACTCTGCTGTCCATGGCTCTATGCATCCATAAGTCATTTGACAAGTGCCGATCCCAGGACCCACGTCCTTAACTATTGTGATTACAATCACAAGACCAACTAACCAATAATTCTGAAAAAACTTTCAACTTTCGAAAATTTTACAGACAAAAGAATATTTTATGAAAGTTTAGTTTATGTACTAACATACGTCCTTTTACGGATTGCCGGGGCTGCGGCTCGAAGGTCTGGACTAGGAACGGGGTGGTTTTTAGTCAGTAAGAGTCTGACACTCCCTCCCGCTTCACCCAGGCGGGAGAAATCATTCGATGATTTTCCTCCCTTAAAAAAATACGTCCTTTTATACCCTCTACACAAAGAATAATCTGCTTGCGACAATGAAAAAAATTAAGATATCTTCTGAGTTAACAAAATGTCCAATATTGCATTGGATTGGAGAAACCATGTGACCGAAAGCATGATGAAAAAAGTAAAATTACCTAACAAAAATGTAAACATATTCATTTTCTGACCATGTAACACATAATAGATGTATAGGTAGGTAGATAAGTACCCACTTCGAATTCTAGCATTCTCGTTTTTAAATTGAGAACTAGCATCATTTAATACCAAAGAAAAAAAAAAAGGTTTGCATAAAATCTTTTTTCTCAATTTATTAGTCTTTAATATTATCCAATAAGTTGCGTTATGTCATTAGTTAACATTGTAACCGAATCCCAGAGACGAAGCGTTTGCGTAAATATTGGCGACAGATTCAAGGCTGTTCCAATTAAGCTATGGCCCGACTAAAAATAAAATGCTTAAAATAATCATTACACGAACACAAATAATAATGATCGGTTCATTAAGTCCGTAGGTTCGTAATGATAATTATATTAGGCAATTGTACCCATGAACTTTTGGACGCGAATGCCCGAATGGAAGAACGCTATTGTTAAACCTTCTAAGGACGTTTATCACACATGCATAAAGAAAAAAGTGCATTAACTTTAATGTCACCAACATAACCATTCTGTGTGTTAAGTAACAACATCGATAATTATGAAACCAATCATATATGATTCGTCCAAATTTCTACTTTAACACACTCGTTATAAAGTCCAAAAAAGTTAAAAAAATTGACAGACTTCCCCTTGAATTTTAGGATACACATCCAGTTATTTACAGACAAGAACCTGTACAAACTGCGTTGTGTTTGTAAACAGATATTACATTACATTAAATTAAGGCTTGAGCACGCTTTAAAACAGTGACAATACAATTTATTCATAAGGCATTACGAAATAAAAATACTAAGTAAGTAGGTGCTTATATCAAGTTAGCTGATAATCCAATTTGATAAGCATTACCTTGATTGTCCAAAGCCTCCTTAGTGGTCACGTAAAAAAAACAAAAAAAAAACAAGTCCACTAATAAACAACTGTCACGTTCGAATTTTCAAATACAGAACGCACTTTGAAAAGTGTAAGTTTTGGCGGGCGTTGTGCAAGATGGCGCGAACGTCAAGCGTGCGGTTGCGCGGGCGATCTCGCGGGCACTGATCGAACCTCCTTTCCTTTTACTTCAAGACCTCTGTCTGCAGTGACACTGGTCAGTGGAATAGATCAGCGTTTGACTTCCGATGATGTATTCATGTTCCGGTTGGGAATTGTGATTAGTCGCGATCCATTTGTAATAGGATATGGAAATTCTGTCGTGAAATGTCCCTGTTTTTTAGGAATCGTGCGGTTTGTTAAGGATGCTGGTAACCCCCACTTGAATAGCACCATATTGGTCAAGAAATACGTCAAAGATTTTGATGTTATAGATAAGATCCTGGTATATTGTAACCAAGAGTATGCAATGACGATTGTTAATTGGTTAATACTAAAACGTGATGAAATAAATTACGTAATAACTTTGTAATCTTTAATAACTTGATTTTTAATAGTGCTGAAATACATTGTTTCGTGATATTTGCATAAATGAAGTCAAGAAATCAAATCAAACGTCTGAAGCGAAAATTACTAAATGACATATTGGACTCATGTCCATGTAACACATACGTAAATCTGGTACATGAAATGTAACCGGTAGAAGCCTTAATGAAGAATTAAAAGACTGTTAATGTTATAGATCTCTATGCCACATCCAAAAAAACACGTGGAATATTCAATATACCCAAACAGAAATAAATCTTAGCATTATGATGACAAATATGAATCATTAGTGTGTTTAAAACATACTTGGATGCGTCGTTTTATTGCTAATGTGAGCTAATTGAGTTTCCGTGCATGGTTATGGTATAATTGTTAGTTGGAAACACTGTGGTTTAATGCCGAAGTTCCACGATTTAAATATAAACATTTTTTGTTTACTGGTCAGAATCACATCATCACTTCTCACACATCAACAGCCTATAAGTGGTCACTGTTCACCAAAGGCCTATTTTCCCACGGAGAAGGTTTGAGCATTACTCACCACGCTTGCTCAATGCAGGTTGGCAGAATCCACTATCATTATTCTAATAATTTACGTCCACTGCTGGATAGGCCTCAGAAATAGCACGCCACTAAGCTTGATCTTCAGTTGTTTATAGCCAGTCACTGCCGTTTATTTGGTAGATATCGTCACTTCACCTAGCTGGAGATTTTAGGCTGTTACTTTAGGCGTGGTTTCTACTTCAGAGCAGTTGGTATTAGGTTTATTTAGGTCACCTTACTTGAGTTGTGTTAACTGTTTTGTAAATAAGATTTTAATCCAGATCTAGTTTCCTAGTAACTCTTAATTACTTAGTACTTCATGCTTTTAAAAGATTAAAGTATTTTACAATGTCAGAGCGAGATAGTAATAGTTGCTTTCCTTTGTAATTATGTGAAGTTTCATCGAAATTGCAGAATTGTGACATATATTATATGAGCCTTCTGGCATTCTCTGACATTCGTATAAACGGTGAATCGTTTAAAGTAATAACTACATGCCTGCTAGCTACTACATGTTTGAGCAAAATGGTAATGCCAAAAGGCTTTTTGAGCAACAAAATCTTAGTGTGAAATAAAATTGAGGTACATATTATACTTTAACAAACTCGAAAAATGTTAAAATGTTACTTTGACCACGATAAGAACAAAATTCCAAAAAATTTATATAGGCATTGTGAAATAGGTTTACAGCTCAAAATTAGGTTTGAGAGAACTTTACAGCTTTTTAATCTGCCAAATCATTAAATGTCAGTAAAAACTTGTGAAGGCAAATTCTTCGCTATTTTTTTATGGCGTAAGCCGGTAAAGGAGCAGACGTATCACCTGATGATAAGCAATCGGCGTCGCCCATGGACACCTGGAACACCAGAGGCGTTACAAGTGCGTTACTAGCCTTTTGGGGAGTTGGAGGATCATAGGGGATTCAGGGATTGGGGAGATTGGAAGGGGAGGGTAATTGGGCCCCCGGTAACCTCACTCACACGACGAAACGCAACGCAAGCGTTGCATCACGTCGGTTTTCTGTGAGGCCGTGGTACCACTCCGGTCGAGCCGGCCCAATCGTGCCGAAGCATCCCAGCTCTCCCACACTTAAACTTACTTACTTACGCTACTTTCTTTTACTTTAATTTGCATCGACAGTGATCATGAGATAAGAATTGTAGCCAAAACTACTGAAAAAATTAGTTTGATATTTATTTTAGCTACAGATGCAGTAATTATTTACAGAATATAGACACTTTAGACAAAGAAAAGAAAAAGTAGACCATGTAATAAGTTTAGACACGCCAATTCATTTCATTTGAATCCTTTGACGTTTCATTAGGGCTGTCATTCAGCATTTGCTTAATTTTACTCGTACGATTTATGTGTGGTAAAATCCTACAGAAAATTATAAATGTAATTTCTTCACGTCAAAATGGCTGAAGGGATCAGGATGAAATTAAGAACAGTTGTTATGGTTTGGTATAATACGAATTTTCACAGGGAATCGAACCCGAGACCCCTTGCCCGGCAGTCGCACTGGTGACTACTCGGCGAATGAAGCAATGACCTAAAATAAAAGAAACATATTTTCATTTCTTTATTATTATTTGTAATTTATTTTAGTATTTTCAAATATTTCAATTCGAAATGCACTGTTGAAGATCACAAAGTGAGGCAACCTTATTATTTATTTTTTGTAAATATTGAATGTTAAATGAATAGATGTTTGTCCATCAACAACAAATACAGGTGATCAGGTAATTATAGTCTTGAAGCATAGAAAACTATTCATCCTGTAAAAAATACTATCTTCTTGGCTAAGTTTTCCACTTATTCATTTTTACATTAAATTCAATTTCATAAAATAAAAGTTTATACTTAACTAGCGTAGCGACCCGCCCCGGCTTCGCACGAGTGCAATATACATGTAATATACACATAAACCTTCCACTTTATCTATTAAAAAAGACCGCATCAAAATCTGTTACGTAGTTTTAAAGATTTAAGCGCACATAGGGACAGAGAGACGACGGATAACGACTTTGTTTTATACTATGTAGTGATACAAACCAAGTCATGAGCATTCGCAAGAATGTTATAAATAGTGTTACTATGCCACTTCGTATAATTATGTCAGAAATAGATGAAATGATTCACCAATATTTAAAATAGATGCGTCACTTATCTACCGATTATGTCACATTCTAGAGGTATATTACTTATTATGCTCTTTACACTATCATGATAATGAATGGTATTTGTGTTTTTATTTGTATACGGAATAAGGATATGATATAATTATATGAAAGCTTACTCGATATGTTTGTGAAATAGATCTTTATATAAATTTCTTTAATCTTTCGTGTCCATATTTGTAAATATAATAGTTTTTATAGAAAACCTGTATAAAAATATTGTAGTGCGTGAAGTTCGTCGTAATACAATTGATATTTAAAATAAATTAAGTATGTTTTTAAAGTAACATAACATTGAAGAGCTTATCATGAACAGAGCAATCTGCTCTCTGTGTGCCTCTTTTTTAAAAAAACATACAAGTTCACATATTTGAGGACCACAAATAGAGTTGCTCCGTGCGGGAATCGAAATCGCAACACGCGTCAGCCAGTTGCCCAGCCATCGCACCGACTTTGCCGTCAAAATGAATAAAATCGAACTTCACACAACAAGGTCTATCTTACTTCACATAGCAATAAAATTTAAAATAACTGACTAGGGGCAGCCCTATCAAACTGTCCTGTTGTACTCGTAATATCCGCAAAGTGTAGTGCCCGGCTTTGGAAAAACCAACATTTAAATAAAATTCATTGTTTGCGTCGCGTACAAGACATATGATTAAATTAATCATTCATATATGTAATCTATTTCAGTTCAACTGGATTAATGTTAGAAATATTTATATTATTACAAGATATTGCATTGTTAAACAAACCGGAAAGCATGAATGCAGATCATGTACGAGTACGTAGTTCGCAATTAACGGATTTGTAAAAGGGATTTACTGCAAGATTCTTAACTTAAAGGCTTTTAGAAAAGCTTTTGATTTCTTCTTGATTTCGATAGAGATTGAAGATAATTTAAATTCTACTAATTCAGGATTAATATCAGATTTCTATCATTCCTTTAGGTACTTGATAGGTTGACGTTCGGCCACCATCTCACCTAGTGGTAAGTGATGATGTGATCGACGATGGACCACATCTACCTATTACCAACCTGTTTACTAGGGACTTCAAGACACTCCCTAGTTATATTTATCGGAAAACACAGATTCCGGCAAGGAATTCCCTTCCTTAGTGGTTAGCACAAGGAAGCTAGTTCTCCTTTCTTATAAATAGCTTGTAATTTGTAGTTGCGTAAAAGGTGCAGTAGTTGAAAATATAGCTATGTAGTGGGCAGCGCGTCTATCTCTTAATATGGTTAAGGGTATACAATTTTAAAAAGAACAGACCAGACAGACAAATGTGCAGTTTAAATTTTAATAGATTTGAATTAGAGTTAAAACTCCAACGACAGTCAACTCACATAAAACCACAACTGTCTCAATCATAAAAGAAGTTGGTAATACATTCAGGTCAGATTCGGTAATTCATATTTAAATAAGTACTTGAGCAACGAGCGTTTCAAGAGCAAATGATTCATTAACTAACCTTCATTGTATTTGACATAAGCATTTCTTTTCAAATGAATCTGTTGAGTAACAACCTGACTCAGTACCAGTGGTGTAACAAGGCTTCAAAAAGAACGCAGTACAATTTCATATTCTTTTACATCAACATCATTATCCGTACGAAAAGAGACCTATGGTCAGCAGTGGCCTTGATAACGAATATCTTGGCACGGCAGATTTTGTCGTTGTACAGATGCAGTTAAAATAACTCTGTTCAAGGCGTATTGCACCTCACTGTACGCGGGAAGTCTAGTTTAACTATACCCAGAGAGCGTACAATGCTCTGCGGATCCAGTACAATATTGCGTTCAGGCACTTTTGCGGCATCACGTTTCTGTAGTGGGTCAGCAATGTATGCTGATGCTCCGATGGATTCGTTGCCCTATGGCGCAA